CATTGTCACGCCCCGAACCCCGGGCCCGTGACCGGCACTGGGATCCACCAACCCCAGTAAGCCTCAACAAAACCAGTCGAACTCCAAAGATACAAAATATACATAAAGAGCAATAATACAACATCCAAAAAAAATCACCCGGAATCCTGTCTGAGAGTACAAGGAAGCTACTCTAGAATACAATCGGGTAAAGTACAAAAGAGAAATGCCCGTACATCCATCAAGTCTGCTGTCATCGACTCCCACGCTGGCACGCTAATCAAGGCAGGTACAGTCAAACGAATCTGGAATTGTTTAAAAACTATGAGTCGCGAAACTCAGTGAGTACGGATGATACCTAATCTATGCATGTCAGGATACACATCATAACACAAGTCTAAAACCCTAAGCATACAGCGATCAGTAAAACATAACAACATACACTCAAGAATACTATCAGCCAACATCAAATCACATCACTGGACTCAGGCCTACCTCACACTAGACGCTATGGTCACCACACTCCAGCCGAGTCTCCACCGTCCCCTCACGGACTCAGACCGACTCACCTACTGGACGCTACGGATCACCGCACTCTAGCCGAGTTCCTGCCGTCCACAAATCCCGTCACAGCACACCACCCTCACATCCAAGTCAAACAGATATACAACCTATATACAGTCCATGTCTCAAAAACCAAAATCACATACCGACACGACTCCCTAACGGTTCACAAAACACGTAGCACATAACCCGAGTAACATATAATCGAAACACAATTTTCAACCCACAAAATCATCATATCAGAAATTACAGTATGAAAACACTAGCATAAAGAAGATATCATCACTCATAGTACGGACGCTAAGCCAAAAAGAGAGTCCCGAGTCACCTCACCCGACTCAGTGGTCCGAGTATGCCCTTACCTGCGAATCTGCAATCAAACCACACAAAACCATCACCAACGCCGAAACCGCACGAGAAACAGGCTCAGTAGCCTCAAACCGAACTCAAATCCCAAACCGGCCTCTGACACGCATCTCAAGGCAACGCGACTAGTCGTCGAAACCTACGTGACTCACTAACACTGAGCAAAACAACTTAACCACTCTCAACTTTACGGAACCACCTCTACAAACTCAAAGCAGCGAACCGACCTCCAAAACCCACGAACCGGCTTAGCCTAGTTCAAAACTACATCCAACTCAACTCAAATGGCCACGAAACCCTCAAATCGGATTCAAAAGGCCCAAAAAACCCTAGGAACCACTATGAACCGGCCAAAAATGGCTTAAACCAGCTCCGAACCGGGTTAAAAACCCTAATCCTAAGCATCAGCACGCAAACTGAGACTGGTTCACCTTGAACCGATCACCCAAAAACCACAAACTTCACGGTTAACTAGGTTTTATCATGTTGAACCAAGAACCAGTCCAAACTCCCCAAGAACCGCCAAAAAACCAGTGAACGGTCACCCAAGCTCAATACACTAAACTGGCCGTTCACCTCGAACCGAGCACCCAAATTTTTCCAAACCCACTTGGTCTGATAGCCCTCATCCCCCCGAACCCAGAACCGTCCAACCTCCCAAATCCAAGTCAAAATGAGCACTGAACCGGCCGGTCAAAGTCCGGCTGGTTCGGTCAAAACCCTCCTCTTTTTTTTTTTTTTTTTTGGTGGAGCCGCGAATTGGCTAGAGCCACCACCCAGTGGCTTGGCTCGGCTCGGCTCAGCCGCGGCTCAGGCCGCCTGGGCCAGCCCAGCCCACTCAACTAGGCTGGCTCACCTTGCTGAGGCCCCCTCCAGCCTAAGCCCAACAACTCTTTTTTTTTTTCTGGCTCGTGGCCCGCGGTCCACCGACCCACCCGCCCACGACAGGACCTGGACCCAGTCCGGGTCCTTTCTTCTCGCCCGAAGACCCAAGCTCCCCAACCGATTGCAGAGAATCCGGTCTGCAACGACCCGGATGAAAAACCAAAAAAAAAAACCACAAAGAACTCACTTACCTCAACTGATTACTGCCCCAGATCGAAGCTTCTACCCCGGCCGAGCCTCACCGAGCTGATTGATCAAAAAGATTTGCTCCGAAACAAGTTGAAATCCCGAAAAATCGAACACAGTCACTGCCGAGCACCCGGTTGAGAGAAGCACCAAATTCTCACCACTCTTGAAATAAATCTTCCAATTGTCAAAGGGGTTGGTTTGCCCCTCTTAAACGCACGCAATGGCGTGAGAAATTGGCGAAATCATCACACGACATGGGTGAATCGACGAAGAATAGTTCGGTCCACTGTTCATGACACAAATTTCTATCAAATTGCAACCCAGCCCTTCGGCTTTTAGTTCCTCACAATCTGGTCCCTGTGATATTTTCAATTTGATCCCCACAGATTTCGATTCTTGCAATTTGTCCTCCACCTTAAAATTTTCAGAAACTGGGTCATTACATGCATAGGGACATACATAATACATACGTAACACACACACATACATACATACATATATATATATTATTTGAAATTAATCCTCAAAAATCATAGCACATGGTGAAGTTCTTGGTGAAATGCTGCACTAATGGTTCTTTCTTGGTTATATACGTTTACTATTTAGCAAAGTCAGCAGATTGGCAATAGCAATTAATGATTGGAAAAAAGTATATGAAGATATGTCTTGTATTTTAAGTAACCCTCCGAACTTGGTAATTTCTGTTTGGAGAATTCTGAATGGCTCCATCCTTCTAAAGTGGAGCACAAACGAAGAGGAGTGTTAACTGAGATGGAATGCATGCTCTTTTTGGCTGAACGAAGAGGAATAATTGGAACAAATATTTCCGGAATGTCCTCTTATTCAGAGAATCTGAATGGATTCTAACTTTCGATTCCATTTTATCTGGGAATCTGATAGTTTAAGGGGTGGTTTATCTCTTGGATTCAATTACCTACAAATAAGAAGTTACTGGAAAATCATTAATTTCTTGTGGTGCATTTGGCTGCACAGGAATGACATCATTTTCTCAAAAGTCACATTTGATCCTTGCAAAGTTCTCGCAGTAGCAAGGTTTTGAATTCCTCTCCTTGAGCATTACCAAGAATTGGGAATACAAGGTGCGTCCACGTTGATCTTAAGCACAGAAGATTTGTCTCTTCCCATTTAACTATGAGAGTAGTAGCAGTCTTATTGCATCATAAGGATCTTCATGAGCATAAAATTTCTGTTGTTCATCAAATTTTAAAAAATTAATTGAAAATAGAAAGCCTATTAAGAAGACTATTTCTAAAAATGATTCAATCTCTAAATTGCTAAAATAGTCCAAACCACTGTTGGGATCAGAGACCCCATTCCAGAGTTATTCGAACAGGTAAAAACCTGGAATTTGCACAATCTTAAAGAAAGTGATTCTACATCTTGCAATGAGGGAGAGAATATTAATTATATTTTCAAAACATTGGATGTTAAGATCATGCTATTAGAAATAATTACTTAGTTCACATGTATAAATGGGAACACTAATGCAAATTATACAAAGGGATACAGCAGCATGTTCATTTCAATTTTCAATATATATTATCTAGACATTTTTATGAGCACATTTATTGAACTAATGCATTTGAATTGAAATAATGTAAGTTTTTGAGATTACTCTTCCAAGCAGTTACTTATCTTGGACTGTTAATCTTTCCGAGCCATTGCAACATTTGTTTTGAAGTCTGTTTCTTTTCTTTGTGGTGTATGGTGAATGATATATTGCTGTCATACAGAATTTCTGGCAACTTACATTATATGCATTACTTTTTTGAGCTTGATCCACCACCTATAAGCGTCGTTTAGTCATAGATCATTTCTTATATGACGAGTACAATTTAAACTTGGTCACAATTTTCTTGTTGGGTTGGAAGAGTGATTTCCACTACCCGAGAGTTTTCAAAATGATTCTCACCAATGTCTAAAAATAGTTTAGTTTGCTGATGTGCCCAGTATTTTCCTATTATGTTGATGTTGAAAACTCTCAATATTTCCCATCTCGCAAGACTCTGATTGTTTCATGATTTTTTGTTGTTCAAAGATTAATCTACATCTCATTATATTCTCATATTAGAAGAAAAAGTGTGTGGGACTCGAAAGCTTGATGAAAAGTCTCGATCTGAGAGCTTTAGCTCTCGTTTCTGAATTTGATTTGGGCAATCCTTATTTTCACAAGTGTTTTTGTAGGTGTATGTTTCATAGTGCCCAATCTTCTTGTACAGGTCTACGCGCAGCAAGTAGTTCAGATTGGCTACATGATTCCCCTGGGTGAATGTAGGACTCTCTCTGGCACCAAGCTCTCTTCTTTATTGTCTTATGGAAGGTATGCCTTAAATCTTAAACGCTTACACACTTGAGAATAAAAATAAGGCATTTTATAAGGGCTTCTTAATAATTTTCAGTATTTGACAATAAATCTCATTTATCTGATATATTTTTTTATAATTTTACTCTAGTTATACGTTCTTCATGTTTGTTAGTACAAATAAATAAAAATATAAATCCCACATAAATGAGAAAATAGTAATGGTTTATTGCTATTATGTCACAGTTTGATTGTTTGTTTAATCTAGCAGTGTTAATGAGGAGTCTGGAGAGGATGCATTCAACAAAATATAAATGTAACTCTCCTTCTTTAATTGAAATTCTAAATTAATATGGTCTAAATTTGGTTTTTGCTTCATTTAAGGAATTTGTCTATTGTACTATTGAGGGATGACGGCACGGGGGGGTTTTCTGGGCCATGCCCCCCCTAAAGCCTTAAAAGATTGTACCTATGCTCCCTATGTTTTGGCATTTATCCTTCTTTTAATTTTTTGACCGGCATTATCTTTTTATTAAAATCAAAGGATGGATCTCCCAATATTTCTATAATTATACATTTATTCCATCAACATATTATGTTATACAATATAATATCCATGCTAAAACAAAATTTCTACTTTGATCCCTCCTATTGCATAATCTTTCAAATTTCTGTTTCTTACTAATCGAGACCTGAAACAGGAACGGTAGATAACTAGGAGCTTCAGAAGTTCATCAATAGGTAAGAGTTGGCTTCTCAGCCCTTGCCCTCCTCCAAAGAGCACAACACTCCTGCGAGCATCCACAATATTAATTCAGAAGTACAAACTGTCGTACGGAATTTCTAAAGCAAGATGATTTACTTAGAACAAACAAAAGAGGAGGGATCCAGAGGGACAGGGACTTCTAAAACTCCTTCGAGCATGAGTGAGACAGTTTTCATGGTTGGCCTTAGAGATGGATCCTCCTGAGTGCACCATAGTGCTATCATCACAAATTTCTCCACCCTCTTTATGTCATTCAAAGCTTCGGCATCATTCTCCACCAAAAGCTCTAACTTCCGTTCTTTATAACACTCATAAGCCCAATCTTCTAACACCATTTCCTTCTCAGTCTTCCCTTCTGCTTCAAAATTTTTCGCAACAGATTATCTCCAATAGCATGATACCAAAACTATAGACATCAACTTTGGCTGTGTAATAACCGGAATTTAGGAAATTAACAACTAGGGGGCGAAGTGAGAGAATTTGGAACTTAGGGGACTGAATCAAAAACTTGCTCAGGGACCAATCCGTGAGAGTAACGAAGTCGAAGGACCAAAATTTGAATTTTAGAAAAACCTGTCAAACAGTGAACCAAATGATGGTTTCACTGATACAGCCGCATTCGGCAAAAATTTGGAGTAGCTTTTTACTTGCTTTTGCGTGTATTTGAGGACTCAACCAAACCCCTCAACCAATTGAGAGTTTTGAGCGAGAAAGAGTAGGAAATTTCCTTGTTTTCGGGCCGACGGAGGACTCGACGGACCGCGGCTTTTCCGGGCTTTCGGCCGCTTTCCGAGTGTTCAAAGGCTGCTGGTGGTTCGCCGGGGCTTGTGTGGCAGTTCTAGGTGGTCGTCGGACTGAGGTAGGCCATCTTCCCGGTTTTTCTTTGGTTTTACGGCCAGCGGGTGATTTACAGGCACCCGGGTCAGAGACCCGAGTTGCCGGGTGAAAGGGACGAACCCAGAAGGGTCCGGGTCCGCATGTTGGGCCAGCCCAGGCCGTTCAGCCTAAGGCTCAGCCCAGTGGACTGGGCGGCCTGCAGGCTTGAACCGCGGGCCAAGCCAAAAAAAAAAAAAAAGAAGAGAGTTTGGGCCGGCCCAGGCGGACCCGAGCCAAGCCGAGCCGAGCTGCTGGGCTGGCGGCTCAAGCCGAGTCACGAGCCACGGCTTGAGAGCCGACATAAAAAAAAAAAAAAAAAAAGGGTTTTGACTGAACCAGCCAAAGGGGACCGGCCGGTTCAGTGGCCAATTCAACTGAAATTTGGTTTTTTGACTGGTTATGGATTCGAGGGGATGAAACCTATCAAACCAAGTGGGTTTGGGAAATTTTGGGTGACTGGTTTAAGGTGAACCAGCCTCGTTTTGCGTGCTACAATTAGGGTTTGAGTTCTTGGCCGGTTCAGGGCTGGTTTGAGTCATTTTTGGCTGGTTCATACTGGTTCCTAGGATTTTTGGCCTCTGAATGCATTTTCGAGGGTTTCATGCCGTTTGAGTTGAGCTTGAGGTAGTTTTAGGCCGGCTAAGCTAGTTTGGGGGTCTTGCTAGTAGCTTGTTTTGCTGTAGTTTGCAGGTTGTGTGGGAGTAGTTGGGGGTCTTTAGAAGCTAGTTCGTGTTTAGCAGGCTGTGGAGAGTAGTTCTGTTTTGATTGAGGGTTTTGAGCTGGTTTATTGTGTGTTGAGAGTCACGTAGGTTCCAGTGGCCAGTCTCGATGTCTCAAGATGCGTGCCAGAGTGTCGATTTTGGATTTGAGCTCGGTTTGAGGCTACAGGGCCTGTTTCTTGTACCGAGTTTGAGGTTGGTTATGTTTCTGTGTGGTTTTGTTTTTCAGATACGTCTGAGGAGGTACACCTGGATCGACAAGACGGGTGAGGGTGATCAGAACTTCTTTCTTGACTCGATTTTTGTACTGTGAGTGACGATACCTTTTTTATGCTTGTGTTTCCATACTGTTTTATTGGCATGATGATTATGTGACTTCTTAACTGTATCTGGACTATGTATGTGTTCTTGTGTACTATTAGTGAGCTGTATTGATATGTTGTTATGAGATTTGGAATATGAACCGCATATGCATATGTATACCTGTTTGTGACCTATGTGTGAGGATGGTACCACGTGATGTGATTTGGGACGAAAAGAGCTCGACTAGATGTACGGTGACCGTAGTGTCCAGTGGTGAGTCGGCCTGAGTCCTTGTTGAGGCAGCAGGGGCTACGAGTATGATGTGCACATTGATGACGTGTCTGAGATGGCAGGCTCAACCGACGGACGGTGGGCCGTAGCATAGGGGGAGTGCCTTGGTTTCCATGTCAGGACGATTTTTGGGATACCGAGACTCGCCCGGCGTGCGGTGTGCTACCGTAGTGTGCAGGGAGTATTCTGGCCCAATGGATGTGATGTGATGGTTTGGTTACGGTGATACTTCGCATATTTATTTTACATATTATGCTCACTGGGATTACTTGTGTATATGTGGTATTTGATTGAGACATGTTGCATACTCTAACATGTATAGTCTAGGTATCGTCTATACTCACTAAGTCTCGCAACTTACCATTTATAATTTTTCAGATCTGACTTGCTATTCCTGTCTCGGTTAGCGCGCCAGAGTCCAAGTTAGGCGATTGCAGCTTTATCGATTTATGGGCATTTTTCGTTTTGTATCTATTCCTTGTATTTTAGAAGTAGCTCTTTGAGCTCTCAGACAGATCTTGGTTTTCGTGTATTGAGACAGCGAATCTTGGTTTTTATATTGTTGGGTTTTGTTATTTTGGATGTTTCGAGACTTACTAGGGTTAGTGGACCCTAACGCCAGTCACGTGCCCAGAACGGGGCGTGACAAGCTATAACGGGCTTGTTGGCGAACCATTCTAGTGCCACATACCCTCTTGTTCCTCTTATTGCAACGGTTGTTTGGCTCTTATCTATCTTCAAGAGCTTGGCTACTCCAAAATCTGATATTCTTGCTTCTAATTGATCATCTAAAAGAATATTTTGAGGCTTGATGTCACAGTGAATAATCTGGCAATTGCACTCTTCGTGCAAGTAGTAAAGCCCTCTAGCCACTCCAAAAGCAATTTGTACTCTTGTGTACCAGTTGGGCCTTGGGCTTTGGAAGAGAAAGCTAGACAAATAGCCATTCCTCATGAATTCGTAAACTAGGAGGAGGTGTTGCCCCTCTTCACAGTACCCTATGAAACGAACTAAGTTCTTGTGATTTGTCCCACTTATGGCGCTCACTTCTGCCTTGAATTCCTTCTTACTTCCTCTCTCTAGCCCGTCCAACTTCTTCACCGCAACAACCATTCCATCTTTGGCCTCTAAAATCCCTTTATAAACAGTTGCAAAGGCGCCCTTACCTATTACCTCCTTGAATCCATTACTTGCTTCCTCGAGTTCTTCATAAGTGAAGACTCCTAAATCTTTTTTCCTTTATTTTATTTGCATATTCTCGTAAGACCTTTGAATTTCTCTTAAAAAACCAATTAAATCCCCAAAGGTTAATAAGAGTAAAAGGAAGAGAAGAAGTGCTAAGCTGCCTAATCCAATAACTAAAGGGTTTTGATCCTTCTTCTTCGGTCCCACTCGTTTCGTAGGAGAAGTAGAATTGTCGCTCCCTACTTTCACAAAACCAACCCGATCAACAGTTTGGTCAAGCCTCCCGTTGGAGAGAGGGTTCTTCTTCCTCCAGCAGTTGTTACTTCCAAAAATGGCAACAGCACAAAAGCAATCGTTCAAGCAAATCTCCTTGCACCGCTCTTCAGCCATCGGCTGGTAATGCTCGTAGTCAGACAGCGGCCAATCCAAATTAACCACTTCAGAAAAGCTGAAATGATCCGCTTCCTGGGACTCTGTACCGCAACTCTGAGGCGAAAAGTTTGGCTTGCACCAACCCATCTCGTCATATGGATCAATGAAGTTATAGCCTGATGGGCAAAAGCATTTACGCCTTCCGTCACTTTCAATTTCAATCTGGCAGTAGCTATTAAACCCACAAATCCCTGCTCCTGTTTCTTGGAGAATGCTTGTGCATATATTTGATGGCACAAAGGAGATAGTGGACCAATTCTTTTGCCTCCCACCAGTTGAGTTATCTGATTTTGGGTAGACATAGTGCCTAAAAACCCCATCATATTCAAGAATCGCCCGTTGGTAGAATAGGCCCGTCGAAGTTTTGTTTGATAAAACTTCCAAGACACTTCCATTACTTGCGTAGAAATAGATGAGGCCAGACTGATTGAACTTCACTTGATAGCCACTCCCACCGCTTTCGATTTTCCAATAAGGCGAGTTGATGTCATCCAACGGGACATTCCTGGTGAAAAACACAAGATCTCCATTAATTTGCAACCTGAGCTCAAACCTTCCACTTAAGTAGTTTCCCTCAGAGTGACGAGCTACGAGACTGCTTCCTCGTTCTAGTGTTTGCGTCGGCAATATTGTGTCTGTTGGTTCGTCAAAGCTCTGCCATAGAGGGGCCGCATTGTTATCGGCTACAACAAAGTTGCCACTATCAAGCATGGCAGCATAGGCAGCTCCCCATTTCCCAAGTTAGGTGACCATATTTCCGTTCCATTGGGCACAACAAGCACGAACTTTCCATCTCGTCTGAGTTGAACTGTGGACCCTTCTTCGGCTAAGGCACCCACTTTGGCTGACCAAACTATAGTTTTCTCTGGTATTTTGTCGAACCAAATGGCCAGTAAGTAACCGTTGGTTTTGATTTTTCGAAAACCAAAGGCAAAGTCACCGGATGGTGATAACCAAGAAGAGTTCCTCCCATTTGCAGTGAGTGAAGAACCCATACTAATGTTTTGACCAGTTGCAGATTAGCGCAGAAAACAAAAAATGAAGTGGATTGAAAGGGGAATAAGAAAGAAATCCATGATCAAACTAGGAATTTGAGGCTGTGTGCCGGATAGGAGATGGCAGGGGAGCTTCACAAATGGAGTGGAAGTCTTCTTAATAAAAATGCAGTGGTGTTGATAAATCGCATATATGAAAGTTCAACGACTCAAGTTACATGCACCTTTCGAAGAAACAGTAATTTATGAGAAGTCATACAAACCACAAGAGACGGGCATCTGTACTCCTACACCGCACAAATATTCATGAGTAATTGTCACAGACCAATTCAACTTCGATTTTTATGGTTGCATTTTCAATTACCAGATTCTGTCAATCTACTGTGGCCCATGGCTTGCCTTGTCTGAGAGGGAATCCTTATTATTGTGTTTGTTTTCTAAAAGCGTTTCTTCTTATTTTGGAAAACTATGCATTTTTTTATTTCCATTTTCATTAATTCTAATCAAAATGATAATTAACTGACAATTTTTTTTCTTGACCAACATAGCTTTGGGCAAATAACTCTCATACTTTTCATTATTTTGGTTAAATGTCTTATATTCAATAATTAATATCATAACCATGAAAATCTTTCTTTGCCTTTGCATCTACTTAAGTTAATTTTTGTATAATTACCTTTATTGCTGATATTAATGCATTTTTTCAAGATTTAAAAAAAAGCACCTAAAAGATTTTTAAAGGTTGTTAAAATATCAAAACTTAATGAGCTATTATTTTATAAACTCAGATGCACGTACCTTTGTTTTTGAAAATAAAATTATAAAAATATTACTTTTTTAAAATAAGATTATGATATTATCTCAAAAGTACATATCTTAAAAACTGAAATATTTACTCCTGAAAATGATCATAACCTATGAGTTGTACTTAGTTTATTAGGTAAATTACTCCACTTATATCAAAAAACTTTGTTATATATATTGTATTCTTTTATATAATATACATACATACATATATACACATGCATATATTATATTATGTTATATATAACATATAAAATGTATAATATATGTATACATTTGCATGTATACATAATTTCAATCTATATTCAATTTAATCCCTGATTTTTTAACCCATTTATATTTTAATTTTTTGCCTTTTAATTTCATCAATTCAATCAATATATAAATTCCTTAATTTACTCTCTTCTTTATTTTAACTTCCAATGTTTTAATTTTTTTGGGGATAAAAGAGTACAATTTTAAAAAATACCTAAAAAACACAAGGTAGAATAGTAATGTTTTGGTTGTTTCTAAAATACTATGTTGCAAAGACATTTATTAATTTTAAAAATATATCTTTTTGTGGCCGAAAGGGAACTGCCTCAAAAATTTCTTGGGTCTATGTGTAATCTTAGGTTTTAGGTACTAAAATGCTCATTTAATTGGCTCATTTGAGCAATTTTACCTTTGCCTGAATTAGTTATTTTAATAAAACGTTAACTCGAGTATTTTTTGATATATTAAATAAAGTTATTTACCAGTCAACCACTAGGTCTTTCAACGAAAGAATTTATGATACATAATGACTCACCATATATCTTTGTCCATAGTCAAGGAAGAATAGTCTAGCGAAACAACCAAGTAGTTAGGAGATTTTCTACAGAATTGAGGGATTGGAACGATAAAAGGACATTTCCTTTTATTATTTGCTGAGTTGGCCGTTTTTTGTATTTATAACTTTTACATTAATAGCAAAAAGAAAAATAAAAAAAAATTCCCAAACCCTTCTACGAACCATGACGCTGGAGGATTTAATTTTTAAATAGTAGATAAAAATCATACGCAAATAAAATTTATCAAAGTATATAAATTTAATCAATTTGTGAAATTCCAGATTTTAACTAAATTTAGCATTAACTTTTTTATTGAACATAGAAAGATTATATTGCAAACTTAGTAATTAATTATTTATAAATAGATTTATTAAATTTATAAAGAATGTGTTAGGTGGTGGAGCCAGAGTCACCCAAGTTTTTGGAATGAAATTTTGTGTTGACCTTGACAATTGAAAGCAAAATGTTGAAAACTGTCCAGGATCGGAGGATAGGTCTGTAGATTCAAACTTCATGAAAAGAGGAAGTCTGCAATTTGGTCCTTATTTTCTTCTCATTGGAGAGCAAATAGACTGAGCGGTCAGGCGTCTGGTAAGAGGGTAAAGGGAAAAGTAAATCTTTGATTATTGATTTAATTAGTTGCTTTCAAAATGTAAATATACATGTCTAACTATTGAGTCCGACTGGTCCTCGTTTTCTTCCTTACAGAAGTTGAAGGACTAAATTTGATTGAGAAATAGTACAGGGACGTAATTGCACAAATTAAAAAAGTTTAATAAGCCCCTTGTATTTGACCCATATCGCAAGTCCGTTCATGATTTTGACCATTGGCTTTTGTGCATGATAATCGCCATTCTTCTCGCCTCTGGAAAAGCGATGCCAAAAAAAGTGGAGTATTTCCCGAGCCAAACAAGCCCAAAACATCAAGTATCAGAGTGCAGGGAAAAAAAAAATGATACATATAATTCGTACTGGCAAATGCCTGATACATTATTCCGTCAAAGGTGCATTAACTAATCTATCATACAAGAAAGAAAAACATTTATCTTCTTATGGTATTGCCTACAGAATAATGTGGCAAAATTATATAAATAATTAAGGTATACTTTGAATTTTCAGACTTGACTAAATCACGATCAATCTCTAAGACCGACATTAACAATGGCTGGGAACGTGGACTGCTAGTGCTGGCCTTTCATCATTATAGGCCCAATGATTGCAATTTCTTAATTGACCTCCACTAAAGAATGAGGAAACGATTGTCTCTCACCATTAAATAAATGTTTTAAAGTACTTCTGCCAGCAAGTTTTTCTTCTATAGAAGATGAAGTGCCATTATCAGAGGCTGGTGTTGACTGCAACAAATAGCAAAAACTAATCTTTTCACCAAAGCAAATTGACTAAATGATTTGACCGAATGAATTTTATTCTAGGGCATGCTTTATCTTTGAGATCTTAAATAGATTGAACCCGTCTCAGTCCAATTGCATCCCCCTATTTTGTACTTCTGCTGCCACTAGACCAATCTTCTCTTCTCCTACACCTTATGGAAAGACTGCGCATTATTTCTCTTTGCTGTACTGATATTACAGTCATGCAAATTCAACAATGTGGCATATTCTTTATCAAACTTCACAGATCAATCAGCTCTGTTCGCCTTCAAGGCTGCAATCAACCATGACCCCAACAATATAGTTGGCAAGTGGACGACAAACACCAACTTCTGCAACTGGCCTGGGGTCTCTTGTGGCCGAGAGAGGCAGAGAGTGATGGCCTTGCGCCTCCCCAATATGGGACTAATAGGCACCCTCTCCCCTTTCATTGGAAATTTGTCTTTCCTCAAGATTATTGATCTCTCCAACAACAGTTTTCATGGCAATATTGTAAGCGAGCTTGGTAAGCTACCTTATTTAGAAACAGTTTTTCTTGACGAAAACCAGTTTGAAGGAGAGATTCCAGCAAGCATACAACATTGCAGGAAGCTTCAGGTCATATCTTTTCACGGTAACTTCTTAACTGGCTCCATTCCAGTGGAGCTAACCACCTTACCTTCCCTTAAAACGTTTTTTGTTGGAATGAACAATCTTTCAGGTAGAATTCCAGCGTCTATAGGTAACATGTCAAGCTTAGAATGGCTCGGTTTAGAAATGAACAACATTTTTGGAGAGATTCCTCATGAGATGGGGCATCTTCCAAACTTGAAAGGAATTAATTTCTACCATAACCTTCTCACAGGGTCTATATCTCCATCCTTGTTCAACATCTCATCTCTGGAAGAAATTCTATTAACAGATAATGACCTCTCAGGTACTCTTTACCCCAGTACTAGAATCCAGCTTCCAAATCTTGAAAAGTTGACACTGGATAAGAACCAATTTACGGGAGGAATTCCCTTGTATCTATTAAATTCTTCAAAGCTTGACATGTTAGTTCTAGCTGCAAATAGATTTACAGGACAAGTTCCACCCAACCTTGGGCAGCTAAAACTCCTTCAAGTTTTCAGTGTGCAAGGAAATCATCTAACAGTAAAACCAAGAAGCTCCGAGCTTGGTTTCCTTGATTCCATGACCAACTGCACCTCATTACAGTACCTAATTGTTGCCGACAATCCATGGAGTGGAATCCTACCAGACTCTATTGGGAACCTCTCACGCACCTTGCAGCTTTTTGCAGCCTCTTCCAGCCAATTGAAAGGCAAAATTACAGAAGGCATTGGTTCATTGAAGTGTAGTTTTCTTGCATTTGATAACAACAATCTGCAAGGAAACATTCCATCAACAATTGGGGGAATGGAAAGACTGCAAAGGCTGTACCTTCAAGGTAACCAATTGGAGGGGCCTATTTCAAATGAAATTTGCCTTCTTAACAACTTGGGTGAAATTTATATCCAGGATAACAAGCTCAATGGACCAATCCCAAGCTGTATTGGAAATCTTAGCCAGCTTCAGAGGTTATTTATAAATTCTAATGAATTGAACTCATCGTTACCTTCAAGTTTATGGAGTCTTCAAAATCTCATATCTTTAAATTTATCATCAAATCATTTAGTTGGTCTCTTGGATCCAGGAATAAGACCCATAAAAACTTTGGGGGTCATGGATTTGTCTTGGAACCAGCTCTCATGCCAGATTCCAAGCACCATAGGAGCCTTTGAAAGCCTTGTTGCTCTTAACCTCTCAGAGAATTCATTCACAGGTCCCATACCCGCATCAATCGGAGACTTGAGAGCATTAAACACCCTGGATCTCTCTCACAATAATCTATCTGGCACCATACCAAAAACACTCGAGTCCCTTTTCAATCTCAAGTTTTTGAATTTCTCTTTCAATATGTTATCTGGGGAAATTCCAAGTCAAGGACCATTTAGAAATCTTACAGCACTGTCCTTTCTACATAATGGAGCACTCTGTGGGGAGCTTCCAAGGTTACAAGTTCCACTGTGCACGAGTCACAAAACCCATAAATCATGGACAAACAGGTTTCTTAAGTTCATTCTTCCACCCATCGTATTTGTTATAATACTTGTTTCCTGTACAATTCTCTGGAAGAATCACCAAAGAAAGGTTATTCAGAACTCAAATCCAGAAGAGCCGTCTCCTACAGTAGAGCATAAAATGATTTCATATCGAGAGCTTTGCATTGCCACAAATAACTTTTCTGATGCGAACCTGCTCGGGGTAGGTAGCTTCAGTTCTGTGTACAAAGGAACACTTCTAGATGGAACAACTGTTGCTGTAAAAATTTTGAACTTGCAAGTCGAGGGAGCTTTCAAAAGTTTTAATGCAGAATGCAAGATCTTACGCACGGTTCGCCACAGGAATCTCGTTAAAGTCATTAGCACATGTTCCAACCCAGATTTACGGGCTTTAATTCTTCAGTACATGCCTAATGGAAGCCTTAATAAGTGGTTGTATTCTCATGAATACAGTTTGGATATCCTCCAGAGATTAGTTATCACGATTGATGTTGCAGTAGCTCTGGAATATCTCCATCACAGTCAAGCGGAGCCCATTGTCCATTGTGATCTAAAACCCGCAAATGTACTCCTAGATGAGGAAATGATTGGACATGTTGCTGACTTTGGAATCTCAAAAATTCTTGCTGAAAGCAAGACTGCTACACAAACAGAGACTTTAGGAACTCCCGGCTATATTGCACCAGGTAAGTCATTCACATTGCGTAGTACATGTTCCGACTTACTCATCAAATGAATCTGCTTCGTAACTGAATTTTTAAGTCCCCAAGGAATTTTTTTTTTTTTTGTACTTTTCTTTGTTTATTTGTTTTGAAATTGATGTATTTAGCAGAGTACGGTTCTGAGGGAATAGTGACCACAAAAGGTGATGTATACAGCTTTGGGGTGATGCTATTGGAGATATTAACAAGAAAGAAACCCACCGACGAGATGTTCAATGGAGAACTAAGTTTAAGAAAATGGGTCAAAGCTTCAATTCCAGACAAATTTATGGAAGTTTTGGATTTTGGCCTACTCAATGCAGAAAATAGGCACCATCTGATTGCTCCTGAAGATAACCTTTTGAGCATCATGGAATTGGCTTTGCATTGCTCTGCTGATCTACCAGAAGAAAGGCCCGATATAAAAGATATGGTTGCCAAGCTCAACAAGATTAAATTCAAGCTCATTTGTGGTGGACAAGCTTGATGTATTGAGCTCGTACTATTTGGGAAGCAAATAGTAAACAAGTTGCTTAGCCAATGTTTCCTGAATAAGCTTTCGTGTTGCCTTAAAGTCAGCAAGATTTATCATCCTTTGTAAAAATATATGAAATATGGTGATGTTTTCTTTCCCCGCATTTGAATAAAATGTCAATAACCACAGAAGACCACAGAAGAATTTCAAATTTTAATGCATATAAATAGTAGTTTTATTTCTCTGATTATTCAAATTTCCAAATTTCAATTTAGTTTCAATATTTTTATTGGATTCTAGTACTAGATATTACTTCACTAGCTAGTACTAATATATTATTGTTTTACATATATCAATTTTTTCTACCCTGGCATCCCTGCCAATGGCTCATCCTTTACTGAAAAGAAGGAAATTTTGACTGCATATGGAACTTGATAAATTTTATGAGATTATTCTTCCTCATCTCCCATATTTAAAATATAATAGAACTGTTTTAAAACACACCAGCAGCAATCACTACTACTATGACAGCATCTAGATTAAGGTCTTCATTGGAAGAGGTCATAGAGATTGAACACGGGGAAAATAGCCAGTATTACATTATTTGTTTTGAGGAATGTGTAGATTGGCCTTTTTTTTTCCCCTTGTCATCTGCTTTTCTGTTTTTATTTAATTTTTGAAAATGTGTTGGTTGTTCAAATTCACTTGTATACTTTCTATAAAAATATGGAGCAAGGTTGAATAAATTGCCTAGTATGACTGGAAAGCCAAGTAAGCGGTGGAAAAATACAGAGTTGCAGAACTGCATTGAAGCCAATGATCCAAGAAAAGGATAAAAGGCAGAAAGCTAGATCAAATCTTGAGACATATGTCCCACGAAGAATCAAAAAGACGATGATGATGACGACGAAGACGGTGATGATGATGCAGCGCCAATCCCAGTTCCACTGCTGAATTCTCTGACGGAAAGTGAACAGCTCTATCTTTGGAACCAGACTGGTAAATAAGATAAGTGACGCAGAGAAATCCTGTGTGTTGCAAAAGTACATATATGAATGGTTTGATTCAAACCGGGCAAACAAGCTTAGGGGTTTAGCTAATTCCATTGATTAAAACATCACTTTTTTTTTTGTCAGAAGTCTATCTTTCAATTGTTTATTCATTGATCCTTGGTCACATTGAAAGGATTTTACCTTAATCCACGCGTTTGAATTCATTGATCTTCCAATCTTTTATGTTTTGATCTTGTAATTGTTTATACATCATCAAATTTTGGGAATACCAAGTTGAACATCTTAATATCCTTTGGTATTTAGACTTTGACGCCAAATATAAAAGGCTGGGTATTTATTTATTTTTCAGTACGCATCAGGAACATATGAAGAGATTCGCTAAGAACACATGGTAGGTGACCATATAACATTAGTTTGACTTCTCATTATTCCATTGGAATTTTGTTTTCATTGTTTAATCCAATTTTTCAGCTGTTTATATGTTGATTTAGTCATACAGAAAGGAGATTGAATCAATCCATGCTTAAGCACAACCATGTAAATGGTCTGTGTCCTATTTTGTAAGAAAAAGTCCAAAAGAAAGTCACCATCCGTGGCCCTCCAAGTCCAAACTACTCGCCCCTCGCTTTCCACGGCTCCACGAGCTAACAGAATTTTTTGGTCTGACGTGACAGGGCAAATGATGGGATATCCTTCTCAATCCATCTTTTATTTGTAGTCAAGCGAAGCCTGTCATCCACTATGATATTAAGCCAAGCATTATTCTTCCAGCTGAGGCAGTGGTCACACACACATTTCTAACTTTGGCATTGCATTGCAAAAATTCTAGCCAAAAAACAAGGCATCAACAGAAGCAATGACTTCAAGCACTTCTCGATTATATTTCACAGGAAATGTTTCACATTTTGTTATTTAATTTTACCATTTTTGTTGTCGAGTCCTAACAAAGGTAAGGTTACTTTGCTACTGATTCTTATTCAAATATGATGAGTGTTTGACAGAGTAACGTATCGAGGGAATGGTATTCATAAAAGGTAACATATAAAGTTATAGATTAATTGTAATGACCCAGATTTGTGATTTAATTAAGACCAGGGGTTTAATTGTGAGAATTGAAAGTTACTGGGGTTATTGTAATATCCTTGATTTTTAAACAAAATTATAAATTAATCTTTTAGCCCAAGGGCTAAATTGAAGGAATAAAAAGTTTCGAAATTCAATTGGAAAAATTGAGGGCTTAATTGAGAGAAATTGAAATGTTTGAGGGCTTAGTAAGGGAATATGAAAATTGGAGACTTAATTGAAAAATTAATTTTTGATCCAAATAGGATACCCAACAGATTGGCCGATCGTTTGAATGTGAATTTAATGACGATTCTGATCTTTATCGATCATATTGAGCCTATAAATAGGATTTTCGACTGGAGACGAAGCATAGCCCTCAACCAATTAGAGAAAAATAACTTGTTAGACTTGTCAATTTCTCGATTTTTTGTCCAACTTTTCCATCTACCATTTTTGAGTTCTTGAGCTTAATTTCTTCAAATTATGCTGCTTTTACGCCAAATTAAAATTCCTATCTTGGTTGCCTACCATTTTCGAGCCTCACTGCCAAATTTTGTGAATATATTTTAGGTATGAAGCTTTCACTTTGTGAATTTCCGTTTGTTTGTTTTGTTTTCTATTTTTCCAAATTTCTAAGTCTGTTCCAAACCCGGCTGCACCCAGCAAGTTGGCCCTGTTGGGTTGCTCTGTGGGCTGGACCTTGATGGCCCAGCATTTCGCAGCCCGTGACCCGTGTATTATGGGGCCAGGCTGAGCCAAGGCTTGAACCCAAATCCAAGATCTGGGTTCCCAAAAAAAAAAAGAGGGATTAATCAGAAATTTAGAAAAAAATGAGAAAAATTCAGGAAAATTGGAGATTATATTGGTTTGATTTTGAGCAAATTATTTAGTGAAAGGCCATGAAAATAATAGTTAAAAAATGAAAGAAATGTGGAAAAATAGAGAAAAATAAAAGAAAAGTATAGAAAAATGGGAAAAATTTCTAGAAGTAAAAATCAAATGATTTTGTGGCTGGTTCACGCATTCCAAAGCCAAGTTAAGCTAAGTTAGGCCGAGTTAAGTTGGTTCATGTTTTCTAAACCCAATTCACGAGTTGCTTATAGTTATAAGGGTATAAATTAAGGCTTCGAGACACAAATCCCTAGATTTATGTCATTAATGTATATTGTAAACGTATTTAAGCCTTATACATGGTTATATTATTATTATTTTGTGATCATAGATATTTCGGACACTTCTCACTAAGCCAAACCATTGAAAAATCGAATTTATCTGACTGTTATCAGGTTCTATGAGTGTAATATGTATTTATAAACAATTATTGTTTTAAACCTCATTTCTCTTGAAAACCACCTGGTTATTGAAATTATTGGTATATCTGCTTGACAAGGGACATATATGACATTATTGACATTGTTTTTGGGAAAAGTTTCCTTATACTATTTTCAATACTGATTTCATACAGAAGGTTTTGAATCCTGATAAGCTATTTCTACCATTTACTGAAAATAAAATGTTTTAAGGGAGTCTCAGATTTGTTAAGAATACTGCAACTAATGGCAATAAGCGTTAGACTAGATGCACATTGGCTTGTATCCCTAGCTAACAAAGGTGGTGCTAGACTATCATGTTAGGCTGATATAGTAGACTTGTATATCTGATTATCGGCAGACTACGAGGTTGCCATCTTGATTATTGTGTATCAGCAAATTATGAGGTCATCGTCCTGATATCTGTTATGTTCTAAATCACGAGACCCCTAAAATTTCTGTAACTACAATTTTGTTTTAAAAAGTTTTTAATATAATTGTGAATCTACCTCTTGATCGCATAGATGCATATTATTATTTCTCACTGAGTTTTGCGACTCACCTTTT